GGCCCCGCCTGCCACAGCAGCTCTGCTCGGTCGGCCGGACCCCACCCTGGCTGGGCACTCGGCAGTCGCCCTTCGACCTAATTATCAGCCCTTTGTTTCCAAACAGAATGGCCCAGGGCACTGGTGGACAGAAACAAAGCACTTTGTCTGCCGCACCGGCATCGTGCGAGGCGGGCACCACGTCCACCCCCTCGGAGGCCCAGTCGAGATTCCCAGGTGAGTTCCCTGCCAGGGCACGTCGCCACACGGCTCCCAGGTGTTAGAGAAGGGGTGTTCACATTCGCGGGGGCAGAACCCCAGAGGAAGCTTGCCAGGGGTTCAGAGCACCTGGGCTGTTAATGCTGCAGAGCTGAACCCCCTCTCCCAGGCTCCCCCGAACCACCTGCCCCCGCGCACGGTTTTGCTCTCGTCTGGGGAGGTAGGTCTCTGCCCTTTGACCCAGCCATCTGACCTCTGACCTAGACTGCTGCCCATTCAAACTTCCGATCTGAACGAGAGCTGTTCCCTCAGGCACAGTCCGTAATCTGCTGTCAGAGGTGGTCAGACAGATGCCCGAGTTCACACGCCCGGCCAGACTCCGAGAGGGCAGCTGGAGGCAGGAGAGACCTTGGCCAGGCAGGAAATGCAGGCCTGAGGTGAAAGGCCACCGGGAAGGGCCTTTGGGGAGGCAGAACGTGGACATTCCTCGGAGAGCGCAGACACGAATGCTGATGTGAGCTCCAAGAAATGCCTGCTAGGAACCCTGGCAGCAGGAGCATCCCACACCCTTCCCCGGGCACGCGGGGCAGGTCCTCGCGCTGTTGCCGCACAGCGGAGAGCCTGCTTGGGCCTCCAGGGCGCGTTCGGACGCCTCCCACCTACGACCCCCGGGCCGCAGGCGCAAGTCCTCGGGCGTCGGACCCCTGTCTGCAGTGCTTCCCACACGCCGGCTTAGCGCGGCTCAGCAGCAGGGTTTACCACCTCCGGGCGCCGAGTGATGCGACTGCTGCTGCTCAGCCCCGGTTCAGCCATCCCGGAATCTAAATGCGAGCTTTGGCCTACGAGAAAGCGCACAGCAGACGGCGTCTGGGCGGGCAGATGTTGTGAGCAACGGGCTGTTTCCTATCGTGCTGCTTTCAGAACCAAACAACAAATGTGTTTTATTTAACCGAGAATGTTCTCATTAAGTTCTCGTCTTATAATGTTCCTTCCGAATGGCACAGGACAAGTTATATCTGAATGCTTTATTTCTAACAGCGTACTGTCTTAAAACTTCACTATCTGTTACATTCTCAGCTCCTTCCTACGCTTAAAGGTAAGGCTGCTCTGCCTCGCACACCCTGCTTTCACAACTGCCGCAGTTCACAGCCGCATTAGCATATTTGGGCTGAGGTATTGTTTTTCTGTGACCTGTATAATAAGTGTCACATTAGCAACACAACAAATCAAACGTTTGTTAATTTCCCTCGCTTTCCCACACAGCTGGTGGTGTTATCGTGTCACCAGATTTTAATTAATATGATAAGTAACACTTGCAAGGCAGCAGCCTGATTTTTCCCTCAGTGTATGCAAGGGTCCAAGAGCCCCATGTGCGTGTGTGAGCGCGCGCACACATGCATGCGCCCACATGTGTGAGTGTGTGCGTGTGGCTGCACACACACGTGCAGATGGGAGGAAGAGGCGAGGAAACACACTGTTCACACGGGCCTTTTGCAACAAACTATCGTCACTAAAACACACACGCGAACCCACACAATCTTATTGTCAAATGAAACTTTCTTGCCCCGGTTTTCTCCTGCTCCTCCAGACCGAAGACTGCCGTGCCCCGGTACCTAACACAAATACGAAAACAGAATGAGATGCACTCGTTTCCATACCTGGGGTGGCTGTGTGTTTAGGGGTAGCATTTAAGAGAGAGGCGAGCCGCTGTCCTCAGAGGAGCTCAGTGTTACTCTCCCGGCCTCCACTGAGCAGCTCGAACACTGGTTCAGAGACCATTGTCAGCGCCTTCCTGTGCCACGGTCTCATCGCAATATTCTAGGCTAAGTCAAAAGTGCCATCTATTTGCAAAAGCTAGAAATGCACCCGAACCAGCGAGGAGACTCAGCCGCTCGGCACGCACGGCCGAGGACAGGCCCATGCGCAGCGGGCTCGGCGGCTGGAAGAGAAACAGCGCGGTGAGGTCGGTGAAGCGGAAACGCATTCCTG